ATATATAAATACAACAACTTCATACACATTTATCACCTCCAACGTAAGCAGAAGGTAATTTTTCTGAAAAAGAACAAATCAAACCTGTTTTTCTCTTGTATCACCTTTAACCTCAGAACATTGATCAAATACACTTTAAAAGGAAGCCTTCTCTTAGCCTAAACAGCAATACAAGTCTGGAGAGTGTTGCTGAGCTGTCAATAATCACAAGCAAATGGAGTGACAGCAGTAAGCACTGCATCTCACCCTGCTGCTGGCACGGGCTGTGGTGAAGGATGAAGCTCTCTTTATGCGTGCGAAACAAATTTTCATTTCCGCCTTTAGAAGTAATTCCCTAACACTTACTTTGTGCTTTACTTATTACTTACTTTTAAAAAAGCTAAATCATTCCTTGGAAGAAGAAAGCCTTTTGCAGGGCAGTCTGAACTTGAAAGGCTGATCTGTTATTCTATGTAAACAAAACCACTACATGTAATGACGGGTGTGTGGAAGACTCCTCTGGAGCTAGCCTGCTCCTCCTCCAAACCCCTTAGTAAGATACAGCCCCCATGGCAGGACATGCAATTTATGATGGCAGGGAGTAAGGGAAAGACAAAATTTCCACTTCAGCCATCTTTCACTGTTACTGCTTTTAATTCTTTTGACAGGGCACATTAAAAAAAAAAAAATTCTTATTTTTACCCTCTCTGTTATTTTATACTTTCCTTAGATAGCAGGTGCTCTGAGCTAAACGTCACACACATTATATAGCACCAAACTTATGGCAAATCTGACCACAACAGAGATCTGTGAAGAGTCTCCAATAAAAACACACATACATCCCCTTTTACACTGTAAGTTTCTTGATGAGAAAATTCCCATTGAGCAGAAACAACTACCATTTATGGCTCAACGCTAGCGGACTGCACAGTCCCCACCAAACTGAGAACAAATATTTCGCGTTAGCCTACCCTGATTCTCAAACGTGCGTACGCTGAGAAAGCCCAACGCTTGTTCCTGTTGCACTGGAGTGGGGTGCAGCGGCGATGTGGCACTGCGCAGCGCGGTGGGAAGGCGTTAGGAGGAGCGGGAGGGCTCGGGACGACGCTTCAGCAGAGCGGGGCGCGGGAGGGGAGGCGGCGGGCGCGGGGTGCTGCAGCACGGCCCGCCTGGCTCTGCTGCGCCCGCCGCCCCGGCCCCCCGATCCTCCCCGGGAGTGGAGAGAGAAACAGGCAAGGGACAGGCTCTTCAGGCACCCCCCTTTGGTGGCAAACTCCTAGCAGCACGGCAGAAGATACACGATCAGCTTTTATAGGAAAACAGCCACCGAACCCAAATTCGGTTGAGTTGCTGCCACATCAAGACAGCAGATTTGCTGTTTAAAGGCAGAATTGTTTCTTTTTTGCCCATACAAGAGCTGTGCTTAACAGGAGCAATACTGAAAACTGAGCAAACCCAACTGCGGCATTGTGAAGTAATTGCACAGTAATAAAGACACAGCATAAAGAGAAATTCTATTTAACCCATTTATCCAGACACTGTCATCTGGCATTCACTCTGGGTCTCCACATTTTAACTTTTACTTGAAAATAACAATGAAGTTTTGTTAAAAAAAAAGTAGTGAACACTATTCCTTTTTAAAATAAAAGCATTTATTTTTTAGTATTTTTAATGCTTGATATTTTTCTTTTAAAGCTTTAGAAGAACAGAATTATTAATATACCGTTTCTGCAAGGCAACACTGCTCCTCCAAACACTTACACAACAGGACTCCACTTTAAGTGTCTGCAAGATTAAGACCCTAAAAGCCAAGGGTGCTAACATAATACACTTATTTTCTAAAACTAAAGAGAACGAAAGCTTGAACAGATGGAAGAAACCTTCCTCAAAATAGACCCAACCTCCCTTTACTTCAAAATAAATATATTCACATTATTTTTAAAGGTAAGTTGTGACAACCTTGTTGATTAGTGCAATTCATGTGGCAGCATTCACTTTTCTCTAGCTCTCTACTGCATACTGAAAATAAGGCAATTAAATGAGAAAATTAATTCCATTAATTAAAAATGTTCAGTCTCAAGCAAGACAGAATGATCTGAGTGAGAATTACAGCTGAATAAATGTACATAAACCAAAATGTTTTCCTTGACATGTACTTTCCTTTAGGAAGGATAAATTTTGCAGCACGAACCCATGATAATGCTATTTTAACAGTAGCATAAAGCTGGAGAGAGATATGAAAAGGTCTGTTTTATCTTTTAAAGAGAAAACTCCTGATGTATATAGGAAAATTTACAAGTAAAATACCACCCTTCCCACAAATTCCTTACTGGCTAGCCTGAGTGAAAACTCTGGTCAAGTCAGGAAAGAAAATCATTAAACTTAGCTGAATCCATAAAGCACCGTAGCTGGAGTTTCAATACAGATCATTTTATAGTAAAATTAAAATAGAAGCCCTTTTTAATTATATAAAGTGTGCACATTATTACTGAGGAGAGGAATAGATGCCTTCCTCAAGAACCATAAAATTGGCTGCTGGGAATTAGACTTCAGCTGCAATTATTATATGGTCCTATAAAGGATATTGAAAGTCTGATAAAATTGCACCCTTGTCATGTAACAGTGATGCTTAATGCTAAATAACCACTCTGCAGCATTCCAGTCATAGCTTTCTCAAAACATCATAGCTCCCTTCTCAAACCAAAAAGAAAACATAGCAGGATTGTGGAGCTAAAAGTATACCTAAATATTTGAAATACCAAATGGACAGGTCGAAAGATATGTAAAGCCACACCGAGGCAAAACAACACATGAGCTAAATGAATACTGACGGTCTTTTATAAAGGAAAGCCCTCCATGGATACATACCCAGCGTAAAAGGCTACATACAGTGAGAAGGAAATAAAAAAGCCCAAAACAATGAAGCCAGCCCTTAACTGCATTTGCCTAACTCAGCCCTGCCACGCCGTGACGAATACCAGCGCCATACATTCCTAATGGCTGTTTTCCTTTTCGTTGCAGTATGTGTTGTAAACAGTGAGTATTTGTTATGCCTGCATACAGCTACAGGAGACTGGCTGGACTTCTTGAGAACGCGGAATTTGCTTTTAGCAACCTCAGTATGCTCCTCGTGTGCCTCTCAGGCCTGCAGATAGAGCATGGGACTAAAATGCTGATATTTCTAATTGCACAGACGCTATTGCACTCACAACTTAGCCAGGCCAAAATTTTTACATGTAGCAAGAATATCAAAGAAATAATTCTCTGACACATAACATAAGGCACATGCAGGGGAAGGCTGGAGAAGAGAGAGATTGCAGAGTGTGGAAGAAGGGGTGTAAATTTTGCTCATGCAAAGGAAGAAAAGGAGGAAATTCTTTCTCCTACAGAGAAGTACCGAGAAAGTCCCTCACCATTTAGATCCTACAGCCTGGGTGGGATAGATGTCCTGCGGTCTCCGTAAAGCTTTGGTCTGACTTTGCTGTTCAATTCCCGGCACCTGTGATAATGCCAGGCCTTCATCAAAAAGCCTCTATACAAGAGCATGCAACGGATCCCACACAGCTCTGGTTTGACATGACTTCTCACTCGTGAAAAAACCCCAGACCATTAGAAATCAAACCTACTCGCCTCCTAGGCTATGGCAGGAAACAAGCACCCCGGGCTGCGCGAGTATGAGGTGGAGGGGCCACAGCTTCTCTCCTTAGCACGGAAGGGCAGAGTTGCAGGCTGCAGGAACACCGGGTGCGCTTTCACGGAGGGGTTTGCTTTACAAATCAGTGCTGTGCCGGCGCAAGCTGCCCGCACCCCATAACTCCCGAGTTATCCGCCTCCTCCCACGGCACGAGCAGCCGCGCAGAGGAAGCTGCTCACCTATGGAACGTTACTAAGACTATGAGCAGGAAACAAGTAACCGAAAACTCACAGACCATAGCTGATTAACCTAAATACCGATGTTTCGGAGGCAACTGGGATGAGCGTGGTAAGTCCCTGCATCTCTCTCTATGTGCTGCACTTAGTGCAGCAGGTACTGGCCACTGGGCAGTACTCTACTATAAATGTGAAAGCACAAAAGAAAAATATATATTAGCTCTGACTGAGCATCTGAAAACCACTGACCTTTTAATCAGTTAAGCTGTAATCAAAACATTTAAAAATTAATTTTTATTTAAAGTGTGCATGAAATGTGCTCCTTAAAAGGTAAAACATGTAAAGACTGGGGTGCACTTTGCAATGAGGCCTTCAAAGCCTTTAGAAGTGTTAATTATACCTCAAAACCCCTCCTGAGGTAAGTATTTTGAATATTATGCCAATGTTTTACAAAAGTATAAAATCACACACACACTGTCATATGCCAACAGCTCAGTCAGGCCAAGATCTGGAAGTGGAGACTTGGGACTCCTAACTCCCTCTCATGTTTGGGTGCAGTTGCAAAATTAAAAATCTATTCTGACAGTATTTATCTACCATTGGGGAAAACAAAAAAAGCAACTCCCAAAATGTAAAAAGAAATTAACTGGAAACTTCTGATGCCAAACATAAAGGAAAATTGAAAACACATACAACAAAGGCCTTTGCATAAAATTTATGATCACACTTACACTGAACAGAATTGAAATTTGGTAGCGATTTACTTTTCAGTAAGGCTTTTTTTTGGGGGGGAGCTATGAAAAATTTTCTCTGTCCTTTAAAAGTACAAATATTGCTGATTCTTGATGAAGCTTCAAGATGTACCTTTTCTGTTAAAAATGTCTGAACCCTCTAATAAATTATTTAGCATCAAACAATATTGTAACAAAATCATTCATACAAACATGAAAATTTAAATACAATGAACAGTTTTAAAAGAAGTCATTAAATGTGCCTTATAGTTCTTTCCATTAGAAACAATACTGCAGCATACCAGTTTCAGAATAAAACCATTGCTCGTATTTACCTTATCAAAAGTAGAAAAAATGCCCAGCAGCATTCACACAAACATAAACCATCTGTTTTTCAGAATAAGGAAATCATTTGCTTACCTGGAACGTCAATTAATCTCTTATAAACATTCAAGAAGGCTGCCTCTGCTTCTTTGCTTCTTTTACCCAATGCGTCAATCTAAAAGGGGTGACGAGAAAAGGCGGCTTTTAGACTTGTTCCAATACAACTCTTACACTCAGAGCTACGAAAATAAATGAATATAGCTCATATAAGACTGGTTAACACATAAAAATGGAACCCGAGTCTCCTACAGAAGCAACCTTGTAAGAATATTTCTGGTACATTTATACTGAATGTAATTTAAAGTCCTGTTTCAGCAAAATAGCAAGCATCAATATTTTTATGAACTCTACTGTCTATTGTGATTCTTTACTTTAAATCTTTATACGGTATTTGCCAGACAGGTTCTCTCCTCAGCAACTGTTTTCCTTTACCACTTATTAAGATCTAACACAACAAATGGGAACCGCGTGCACTTCTGATGTCACGCCCTGCCTTTATTGTGGCAAATATATTTTTATATTATTTCCACTAAGCCTGTGAGAGGATGAAAATATGTACTTGTTGGGCACCTTGTGGTACTTAACACTAAACAACTGAGAATTGTCTACATGCAAATAAGCTTTCCAATAAAGCTCAGGCACAGACCCATAGAGACTATACTCTCTTGCGCCCATGAGCTCAAGCCAGGCTCCTCTGCCTAGCTTCTCTTCGTATTTTGTAACACACACAATACTAATATAAGAAGCTGTCTGCCCAGGTGAGGGAAAATACTACCTCATTCAATCTGTCATTTTCCCCTAAATATGTATTTTTATCTAAAACTTAATTTTACAAGGAGAGGCAGCTTCATGGCTCAGAATAAAATACTTATTCCACACAACTTTTTTTGGCAAACATGTATCTTTCTAATGTACTAGAGAACAGAGGATTTACAATTACTAAATATTAACAAAACCCAGCCAAACTGACCCAAGACCAGGTCCACTGAATTAATAATCCAAAGCAGAAAGAGACAGAAAGGGAAACAGGAAAGTCTGACACAGTTCTGCACCGGCTTACTGAAATGAGGAAACTAAAACTATGGAGATTATCGTTCCCATATTTTAATAAAAAGCAGGGAAGGATCTGAAGAACTACAGATACAAAAGCCTGATATCAATTCTTCTGTGTATTTGAAAAGCAGTTAATATTATGAAACCATTTAAACGTGTGTATGTCAACATGTACTAAAAAAGGAAGGTCCTGTCTGAAAAACGTCCTTGAATTCTTTCACTACATTATTGATTTGGTAGATAAGGCAGAAACAATGGACAGAGTTTACTGTATCTGTATTTCAGGAAAGTATCTGAGATTTTATTGTCCAGGAGGGAGATTTTCAGAGCTAGAAAGCGTGCTCCGGCCGCCCTGGGCTGCAGCGGCCTGCAGAGCGCGCGGTGCCGAGGAGGAGGGAGAAGCAGGAGGGTGCTGGGGGTCAGATGGGGTGCTGCTTCTCTTAGCTCTGTACGAAAATGACTTTGCAAAGGGAAGGATTGGGGGTGGGGGGGTGGAGAATCCTACATTGTAGATGATTAAAATAATGGAGGGAGTCAGACGCAAAGTGCACAGGAGCAGAGTGCAGGATCGCCACGTGACTTGTATAGATTAGTCTTATGGCTGATAAGTGACTTGCAGAGATCATTATGCAGAGGATTTAGGCCAGAAAACCAAAGGACAAGGACAATTGCAGCAGTTACGCAGAAGCATAACGCACAAGATATAAATCAAGAAAAGACTTGAGGGGAGGGCACAAGTTGGAAACTACGGACACTGAAAGCACCTGCATGGCAAGTGGAAGCAGCAATGAAACCTTGGGAGATACGGCCAGCGGTTGTAAAGAGACAAGTTATGGTAACACACTGCAAGACTCTATTGAGGGAAACAAACCAAATTCCCATTTTGCTTACATTCCCCCAAAATCTGGATTAATCTATGTAGTTTGGTGGAGGTGTAGTGTAACTGAAACCTGACCTATTTACGACTTACTCCTATCAATTAAGAAAAAGAGAAAGGTATTGGAAAGATGATAAACAAGCAGCACAGGCCAAAATGATGGAGGGCATGCAAAGGAGGTATCAATTCTCAAAAAATGCTGGCCATATGTGTCTTTCAGAGTTTACCAAGAAAGGCTATGGAAAGGCACTGGAATCTCACAGGGCATAGCATGTGCTGGAGAGCAAGGGATTGATGGTTGTGAATAACCCATTTATTAATTTTAATTCAGGCAATCACAGATGGACTGATGCTCATTAGGGAATGAGAACATAAGTAATTCGGTTAGAACATTTTCACACAAAGAGTATTTGAAATTAGAATATGGAACAAACTGCCAAAGGCAGAGAGGCACCGGGTACTGTAAATCAGTGCTTGGAAGTATCAGACACTGTTTGTGAACGGGCGAGAAAAGAGGGGGCAGCCATCCGAAAGACTTTTGCAGTTGAGATATTTCATGGGTACAGAAAGACAGACTTTGAAGGCCAAAGCACGCCATATGTTAGACTTCTGGACTTTAACGTTCCCACATACAATTTTCTCTCACTGCTGCTAAGCAGAGTACAGCCAAATTTAAATTACTATTATTAAATACAATTAGCATTACAGAACTGATTCTGTACTGTATCTTGAAAAATTCATTTGCCCCTCTATGAAAACCAAAGCATTTAAAACACTTGCACTTCTGTGAAATAACAGGATGGATTTGTTTTCCTGTTACAGTTTTTTTCACATTTTAATAAAGGCTGTTTGTACTTATATTCTCCCTAAGTATTACAAAAGGTATGGTTTATTCACTCCTTACCAGTTATATAGTGATTGAAATATAAACCAGAAATGAAACAACATCTTCCAAGGAGATCAGAGACTGATGGAAGCAGTCTGTAAATCACAGGAACTTTCAGACCTTCCTCCCTCCCCCCAGCCCCCCAAATTCAGAGCCAGAATTTCAAACAATCCCACGAGGCAGAAAGATTTTTTTATGTTTTAGTTGTTAAGAAATCAATCTGTCTGGTTTAAAGTTCTATTAAAAATGAGTACTGCAACTATTTTATATCTTAAAATAAATTTTAAAAAAAGCACCACGACAACTTTAACTGGAATAAAAAAATAACTAAGTATGCCAGCTTCCAGCTGCATAAGGAAGTAAGGAAATGTGGAATGAAAAAGAAATCAGAAATAGCAAAATATAAATGAAGTCCAGAAACAGGGGAAACAGAGCACTGAAATGACATGGAAGTAAGTATTTGGAAGTTCACTGAAAGTTTTTCAAATCAAAGTAAAATTGGTTCAGGAGCCAACAAGGATGAGCTGCAATCAGCTTACATTAAAACAGTTGAACTACATTATAAAACTCTTGCTGAACATTTTTATTTGACTCCAAAAACTTCAGGGACCCTGAAAGAAGTCAACTTATAATTACACTAACGTAGTCTTGACATGAGCTTAGCTCCAAATCTTAATTTATCTAAACCAGGCCCCATTATGTCTTCTCTGACTAGAAAGAAACAACAGTGACCTCTGTATTCCCCACCACCCCCATAAACATATGTTCACTTTTAAGTTCTGGCATACTATTTGTCTTGATAATACCACTGGCGCTATACTGAGATAACAGAATTGAGACACGAGGAATCCTCCCTCCTTAGCAAACTCTTCATCTTTCAAATATCACTGGAGCTATATGGAGGGAGCCGCAGCGAGACACTGGTTTGAGAGCAGTCCTCCCTCTGTCCACCTTATTTTTCCAGGTCAATCGCTTTCATGAGTTGTTGCTCGGGGCACCATGGTCACCCCGGAGGCTGAAGGACACCCTTCCCCTCCATAATCATCTCCCCCCAGCTTGCCCGTGAAAACCTCCTTGGCCCGCTCCCCTTCTCCTCTGCCGAACGCCAGACAGCTGGTTGCCCAGTGTCGCTGGCTCGCTACTCCAGTAGCATGGACAGCCTGTTTCAGAAATGGTTGGTCACAGTCTAAGATCTACCACACCTGGCTAAAATCAAAATACTGTCAATGAAAACTCAGCAGTTTTACCTCCACATTAAGGTAAGCAACATAAATGTGGCCATCTATGTCAGGGAAGATGCTGAATGTAGTTTTATCTAAACACTGGCTCTTTCCGTTTCAGCTATGTCCAGTCAAGTTTAAAAAGATAAAAGTGAAGTCTGTGGCTTTATTTTGGAATCTGTCGTTCTTTATGCACCAAGAAATTTCAGCACTAATTAAACTCTGATGTCTACTGCCCCACAAATCACCTGGATTCTGTATTCAGGTTTGCAGAATGGGATGCCCTTCTGTGCTGCACTGTAGCCGGTGTTGCCTCATTGACTGCAGTCAGACAGAACGCCGCACAATTGTGTTTCTGAACGTAAAGGTGCAATGGGAAGATGAAGCTCTTTGCAAGGGAGCTGGGATTGCCAGATGCCGACGCATTCTGCATCGACACTTAACTTCTCCGAATTTAGGGATATCAGCACGTTAACACATTTGCAGACCAGGAGGCCGGCACATGGACACGATGTGTTGCTCCTTACAGATCAGCTTGGATCTTTCAGCACTGCTGAGTTTTTCTCTTGTTTTTAGACAACTCAGCATCCCAAAGACAACTCCTTAGTGAAGGGATCACATTGCTTTCTGTGTCTGTATGGCATTACCAAAGTACTGGTGATTTATCTGCAGAACAATTAGCTACGTATCCAGCGTCTCAAACACAAGCATTTACACGACTATGCCAAATATGAATTCTGTAGTCCTAACTTCTACCTATCCTCATTGTTCTTCAGTTGTAATTCTCATTCTCATCAGCAATCTTAACAAGAAAGATATATCTTTTACTGTCCTGCACCCAATCTGGAACTAACTTACCAAGTAAAAATAAATTACTTAGAAGTTATTTTTCTATTCTGATTTTTAATAAATAGGTGCCTTAATGAGACACCCATCCCCCTGCATTTGCAAAGCTACCTTACATACCTTTTGTCGTATTCCTTTGCATCACAAAGTTTTATCCATTTGCCTTCAATTACTTTGAGCTACCAAAATGCCATTAAGAATTTTAAGAAACGTACTGAACAAAGGGAAAAGCA